TGTTTTGTTGTTGTTTTGTTTTTGGTTTTGTGTAAAAAACAAAAAACACTGTATGAAATCGATGTTTATATGTAAGTTTATTGAAATGAAGAGTTCTCAGATAATGGGCTTGAATGTATTAAAGTAACATCTTATCAAGGTTATTGCATACATATTTGTTTTAGTGATGAAATACATTACATTTCCACCCCATATTCCCTTTCCAAAATGTATGGGAATAGTAGAGACTTGACTTCGGAGACCTAGGTCCTGACCTTGAATCTGTCCCATAGAAGCTGCCTGTCTACACCTGGGCAAGGCCCTCATCTCTGAATATCACCTTCCCTACCAAGGGTGACGGGGAGAATGGAAAGAGAGGAAAGCGAGACCCTCTATGAACAGTAAAACATGATGTAATTATTATTATATGTATAGGAAAAAGAAAAGTTCTAAGAACATTTTAGGAAACGATGAAATAAAGGAATACAAAGCTCAGATACTTTGTCATAATTTAAAAATATTTAGATCTTTTTTCATGAATATAGTGACTTGATAAAGTTGTTCTTCCTTCAGGACTTTCATATTACGACTATTAATTCAGTTACTTTCTCCATCTGGGGAATTGGCAATTATTGACAGACAACGATTAATGATGACTAATAAAGAATCCTGGAGAAACACTTTCCCCCTCTTTTCTAGTAATTTGCAAACACAACAGATATTTCAGTCATTTTAGAACTGAGAATTATCAAGCATGAGTACAGATACGAGTTGTTTAACTATGGAAAGCAGCCATAGAAAATGAATGCCTTTTTTATTTTTTTATTTTCTGTTTTTGGCCATTGGTTCTTGGATCACAAATACTGAGGTTTCTTTGTTTATTTCCCTTCAAGAAATCACTGTAGTTTTCCTTTCCCTGAAAAATTAGAGAAAATAATTAGTTTATAAAATTGCCTTGGTTACCACAGAATGTGGATGCCACAGCAAATGCCTGTGAGAACAAGGAAACATGTGAGGTTTTTTACATTTTCTGGTAGCTTTTTAATTTTTTAGATTTAGATTTGTTTTGAGTATTTGGCCTACTTGTCTCAAGAAGCGAAACAGCTTGTCTCCTGCTTTCCCAATCTGTTTGATACTTAAAGTGACGGAGACATTTGGAATGGCTCCTAAACTGAACAGGTTTTCATTTAAAATAGAGAAGAGTAATTCCCAGGGCCCCCTGGCACACAAAGTGAGTCATCACTCGGCGTGGCGAGTAGTAACATGCGCTTTAAACAGGGTATTTATAGCTATTACTACTAGTTGGAAGGGGAAAAACCAGCAAAGCTTGTATTTGATAGAAAATGAAATAGCATAGTCAAGAGTCTAGTACTCTTAACAGTGAATTTAAAGATAAGGGACAAAATGTGAGTGGATTTTAAATGTACACGTTGATTCTTTAGAGACTAGGAAGTGACTCATCTTCGATATAAATCTTTGTAATGACCAGGCCAGCAGCAGGGAAAGGGCGGGAAGATCGTAAAAAATGTGTAGGGGGAGGGGAAGGCATTTAAAGTCCAATAATTTGTGTTTTTCTTTCGGGCGTATGTGACCAGAATATAGAGTCAGACTAACAGTGATAGTCAGGTTTCGGTGCCAGTGTACCTAGGAAATTAGAAGCTACGAAATCAACATGATTTTGCACACAGTTTTTCTGTTTCTGGGTTGCTTCATGTAGATAACTTCTCTGCCCCATAGAGAGCTTTTAAAGTCACAATGAAAGCCATTGTCTGTGTTCATGAATTCTGAACATCTAGATATGCGATTCATTCCAGTTCTCATTCATATGCTTTCCTTATGTAAACACAACTTACATGCATTTCTGTGGCTTCTCTCGTTGTATCTGAATGCATATGGTGCTTATTCTAGAAATCACAATCATATATGTCACTACCTCTTACTAATTCCTTTTGCAGTTGAAAACGGCAGACAAAAGACTCCCAGGAGTTTATGCATCCAAACTCAGACGTCTCCAGATGTGCTCTCCTCTGAGAAAACACTCGAGTTGGCTCAGTATAAAACCAAATCGGAGAAGCAGAGTCGGTTTATCCTGCACCTTAAGCAGCTTGTTTCCTGCGGGAATGCCAAGTTTGAAGCATTAACCGTTGTGATTCAGCACCTACTGTCTGAGGTAAGGATATGTGCCCTCGCCCCCACCCCCCCCTCCGCAGTCTTTTCCCCTGAAGTGGGGGACCAGGATGGCAGGGGGATGTGGGGGGAGAAGGGGAGCAGTGTTCGTGGGTTGTTTTGTGAATATCTTTACATTGATGATTGGTAAAACCAGATATAATTCATCCAATTATGCTTTTGCCACTCACTTGATGCCTGAGTCACTCTTTAGGAATTGGGGGTGAAATATTTCTATCTCTAGATAGTCTCGTAGACCAACAATCGATCGTGAAAAGATATTTGCCTGTGATACGCCGGTGCACCTCCAGACTATACAGTAAACCCTTGACTTTGTGGACCTTGATTTAACAGACTTTGGATCGAACAGACAAAATTTCCAGCCCACATGTCATATGTGAAAATTAATACCGTGTTAATTTTTTGAAAATGTATCTTTATTTTTGAAGTATTAGAGATGTCCTTCCTTTTTCCCACATTGACCTGCTCCACCCTGCATCCAACTTCACCACATCATTGTCTGTGTCCATAGGTTATGCATATGTGCATATAAGTTCTTTGGTTAATCACTCCCTACCCACACACCCGTCCTTGTCTTCCCTCCGAGATTCAACCTGTTAATTTTAAAATGCTTTTAACCAAGATTTGCTTATAATTCATTAACAGGGTTTTTTTTATTGTTATTAATTCACTGTTATTATTATTTTTTAAATATATTTTTATTGATTTCAGAGAGGAAGGGAAAGGGAGAGAGAAATAGAAACATCAATGTTGAGAGAGAATCATCAATCAGCTGCCTCGTGCACGCCCCACTCTGGGATCGAGCCCACAACCAAGGCATGTGTCCTGACCTGGAACCGAACCGTGACTGTGGTTCATAGGTCAATGCTCAACCACTGAGCAACACTGTCGGGCAATTCACTGTTATTTTTAAAAAACTTTAGCAAATAGGCCATATGTTGAAAAAAATACTGTAGTAATTTCACCAACATAAGTAAATATTACATATCTACAACTATAGTGTACATACTTAAACCCAGCAGTCACCACTCGAAAACAGTGTTCCGTGAATGATTAGCACATGATCACACCCCATCTCGAGGTAATTGGTTCTATTGTCTCGTGGCTTGACTTTCTGCAGCAGTTTTGTTTTGTTTTTAAATTTTTTAAAATTGGTTTCAGAGAGGAAGGAAGCGGGGGATAAAGAGATAGAAACATCAGTGATAAGAGAGAATTATCAATTGCCTGCCTCGTGCACACCCCCTACTAGGGATGGAGCCTGAAACCCAGGCATGTGCCCTACCAGGAATCAAACCATGGCCTCCTGGTTCATGAGTCCAGGCTCAACCGCCCCCCCCCCTTTATTAAGGTATTATATATGTGTCCTTATCCCCCCAGTGCCCCCCACACCCCACTACTCATGTCTTCGAGCCAGTTTTAACACAGGCTGGCTGAATGTTCCCACATGGGCCAAGTTGTGCCCCGGCTATGTACGTTTGTTTACTCTCCTTGAATGGTGAATACACACATTTGCTAGACTTAATTCAGTATAAATTTAAAAGTATAGTCTGGCCAGCATGGCTAACTGGTTGAGCATTGACCTGTGTGCTGGTTCAATTCCCAGTTAGGACACATGCCTGGGTTGCAGGTTCCATTCCCAGTCCTGTCGGGGCGATTGCAGGAGGCAATCAATCGATGTGTCTCTCCCACATCGATGTTTCCTTTTCTCTCTCTTTCTCTCTCCTTCTCCCTCCCTTTCACTC